ACTTACCTGGAAACTGCTTCTCTGCCAAAGTGTCAACTTGCCTTCTCAAGGGAATCCGGAAATGTGGATATTTTCTTTTCCTTTGCAATGCAAGGAAGACCTTAAAAGGAGAGTCAGTGATGTCTTCTGAACAATAGCTAATCCAGCATAGGTGCATTTTGTAATTTGACTTTTGTAACCCCATCATGCAGGGTAACACCTTTATTTTGCATTTGAGGAAACAAGTTCAGAGGTTTATTCAAAACAGCAACTTTTCAGCCTCCTGCATTGACACTGACTTTTGCATTTAACTGTAATAAGTAATCTAGAGTCACTGAAAAGTCCTAAATTTTGAGGAATTACATTATTCATGTCCTATACACTGTATTATTTTGGAAAATATATTTTGAAAATTAATTCTTCAAAGTATTTAAATGAGTTTCCAGGTTAATCTTAGTTTAACAAGAAAATTAAACAACTCATTCCTTTTAATTAAGGCTTTAATTTAAACAGAAAAGATGAAAGTAGTGAGTTTTTCCAAGAGAACATACTACATGATTCAAAATCTGAAGGTGTTAATGATTTCTGTGCTTTTTAATAGAAAAGTATGATCTTGGTCATGGAAAGTCAAATTCTTTCAGAAAACTTTGTTGTTACATGTGTAAAAAATAATTTAAAGGTGAAACATGTTCTGGAGGATGGTAGGAGGCGGGAAGTCAAATGTTTGAAGTTTACTGTAGTTTCCATGGATAATTTATAGAGTAATTAGGTGATTATCCTTCTTGATATAACTTTTCATGTTCTAACAGTATTCAGCTTGTGACATATATCTTATTACTTCCTTCTCCAGCACTGAAAAACCTATTTCTGTTATCCACAGTATATTTACTGTTTTGCTCAATTATACAACACACAGAAAGTAGTTTCAGAGTTGCTAATATATAGCACGGTAAAAAACAAACTTACAAATTAGCATTCAATATTTTTTATAGTTCTTTTATCTCTGCCTTGAGGGTATATAGTTCTGTACCCCACCCCCCACCTGTCTGGTTGGTATTGTTAGTTTCTTCATTTGTAAGTATTACATTCATTTGTTTCTATTTTTATTTCATTTTATGTTTTTTATCCCCCAGACTTTTTTTTTTTGTCTTTTTTGTGACCGGTAAGGGGATTGCAACCTTTGGCTTGGCGTCGCCCGCACCGCACTCAGCCAGTGAGCGCACCGGCCATCCCTATGTAGGATCCGAACCTGCAGCAGGAGCGCCACTGCGCTCCCAGCGCTGCACTCTCCCTAATGAGCCACGGGGTCGGCCCTATCCCCCAGACTTTGATTTTATCTTTTTTCCTATTTATT